TATTTTTTTATTTAAATCATTTAGTTGAGGTCTATATAAAGTCTAAATGCAACGCTTTGGTCTGAATTCCTACTTATTGTAACTCCACAAGCCCCCCTTTCACTCCTTTTTCTGAGCTCGCTTTGAGGCTGTCTCTTTAAATCTTGTACCTTGAAAGTGGGGTTTACGACTATATATCGGTGCAGAAACTTTTTTATTTACAAACTAATTAAAAGATGTCAGCAACGAGAAACTTGTCCATCCAGCCTTACACATTGGAGCCAAAGTCTGACCCAGAGCCAGAAGAGAATGAAGACCACCAAAATGTAGTTGGTAAGTCCAGACCTTATTTAGTACCTCTGTTGCAAATAATTTGATATAATAGTTCAGAAAACGTCACAGAAAACGTGTTGAAAAATATGACCTAAACAGCATATAAAGATATCTAGACAGCACCAGGAGAAACTAAATTCAAATTGTTTGCACTCCTAAAGACTCCAAGTGCGCAATTAAATGCATTTAAAGGCTAAAATAGCGGATTTTGCATGATATGTCCCCTTTAAAATAAAGTCAAACATGAATTTAATGAGTTAATTTTTGGGTTAATCTAGTCAATCATGTGAAAGTCTTATTACAAGTCTATTTGTCAATGACTTGTGTCCAATTACTGGACAGTACAAGCAGACTGAATTGATGCGTTTAGCAGGAGTCCAATCAATAAGCCGGCTGCACTGGTGAGGGTGAAAACCGATCAGCAGTGGAAAGGACTTCACTAAGATAAAACAATTCAGATTTTTGTAATGATAATAATGACTTAACAAGGTTGGCCTTTTTGAGTCTCACAAACTGAAGCCAGTGATTTGCAAACATTCATATAAAATGCATCATCTTATTGTTATTTTTCTTCATTCTGATGAGCATCTTCCTTTATTACAAGATACTGTGGTGTTTTATACTATTTCCAAAAGTCATTGAATGAATTGAGGAAGTTGGGAACAAAATGCAAAATAAATAGATTTGAATCAAATCAAAAAGTTTCATCGTTTGCAGATGATCCCTGCGCATATTTTACTTCAAAATATACATAGAATCWAAGTGAATTTCTTTAAGACTCAACCTTTTCCTGCACTTTGTTCTTCTGGATTTGACCGTCCAAGTGGGATTTTTTGAAGCCTGAAGATGTGTTTAAGGGTCAGTTTAAATATTCCTGCAGTCAGTGTAAATATTTGATTCAAAGCCGAATTGCTGCTAGAAAATGAAACCCTACAGCCTGGCAAATGTTCATGGRATAGATTTGTGTGTGTTGGCTGACGTGGACTCAGGTGTGAGTGTCTTTATGAAATTGAGAGGAATGACAGAACCACAAATAGGCCTAAAGAGTGCAATGTCAAACGCACCAACACAGATCAATGAGTTTTTCTCTCGCTTGCCAGAACATTAGCAGGAGACAAAGTCTTATTGATTTGTCTTTGTATACTCCATTCTGTCTATAAACTGCGTTTGTGCATGAGGGCCAAATTCTGAGGCTTCATGCTCATTTTTCTCTTCTCACCGCCTCACTTTTTTCTGTCTCCATTCATCTTCCAGCTGCTCTTTCACTCTATTCTTTCTGTTCACGCATTTCATCACTTTCTGACAGACTTACATTCGGTGTTTATGCTCCCAGATTGTACCTGGGCTCTTCTTATTCATGTTTAGTCGTTAGTTATGATGCCAATTTGAGAGCCGCTCTCCTAACCACGGAGAAAGCAGTTGGTAAAAGGTCAGGTTGTGTAGTGTGCTGACAGCATCATTAGTCAGAACTCAGACAAAGAGTCAAACAAGCGAACTCCTCCAAGCTGTTTGGAGCAGATATACCTCTGTCCCCCTTCTCCCTACAATAATTCTGCCACTTCAGCAGGAGTATCAAGACAGGACTTTTGTACTGCTTTAAAGCATTTCATTGGGAGTTAACCTATTAGATTAAGCACATTAGGTACATTTCTTCACAGGCTTTAATCTGCTTTACTTCCATGTACAAAAAGCATTGTTTTATTTTATTTATTTTTTTGTCCACCGGGGTTAGATTTGCAAAAGTTCTCCATTGTCTTAAAGCYAAATGCGCTCGTGATTCCCCTACAGTCAGCTAAAACCTATACACTACATGTCAGAGGTCCAGAAGCAATATGGTATGTTACAGAAGCATGATCCAATGCTTGCATTCATTTATTTGATGTACACACCAGCAAGGGTGAAAAACAGCAGAGAAACATCTGTGCTGAGTTATTCTGGGCCCAAAAACAGAAGTGATTTTCAAACCATCTTTGACCCTGCCCTTACCCGCTCAACACCCCCAGAACCAGGTTTAACACAAAGAAGGATCCAATGATGATCAAGGTGACAAAATAGACCCAGGGCCACCTGTAACCCACCGCATCGTTCACCTGGGAGACGGCAGTGTGGACAAAAATGGACCAAGGACATGAGATTAAAAGAAGCGATGATGGGAAAAGTTGAAGGATTGTGAAATGAAAGATGAAGCAAGGATGGATTGAGAAGATGTGGATGGAAATAAAGGAGGAAACGAGGCATTGCAATGAAAAGGGGGGGGGGAATGGGGGGAGGAGTTAGATCATCAATAAAACTGGCCAACAGGTTCAGGATCTCTGCTGTTGAACTCAGAATATTAGAGACATATTCAACATGGATGTGAAAAATAAGGAAAAGACATGAGCCGACCTTTGAAACAGTATTGATTACATGAAGCTTTGAAAGGAACACATGATGAAACAAAACTCCTCTTCAATCAATTAAGGTAAGCAAAAAATAACAGGTTAAAAGCACCATAACAAATAACCATATTTCTGTCCATCTGGCACAAACAGACTGCSCAGCAAGACTCCCAAGGACTGGATGTAATCATCATCCTCATGTGTATCGAACTGGGTTTTTTTCTGTTTATTATTTTTAGTTTCGAGGTTTTTATTTCCTGTAATGTTTATTTTCTGTGTTTTCTTTATGTTCAATTCGTTTTCTGTGCTTGCCTGTGTTTCCTAAAACTCGGTACTTTTCCACAAACTCTGCCCCGTAGTGCTGCCCCTCCCACTCGCACCTGTTCCCTGTAGTCATCTCGCCCAGGTGATTCTCTCTGCTCATTCACCTGCAGTCCACCACTGTGTGCTTCTCCTCTATGTTTTTGAGTTTTGTTGTTTTCACAACTCTTGCTTTAAGTTTTATTCATCTTCCTTGTGTTTTTGGCACCAAGTCCTTCACCAAACCTTAGACCCTAGAAATGACGCTTTGTGAGTTTATGATTTCAAAATCGTTTCGGTCAGGAAGAAAAATAAATTTATTAGTTTATATTCAATTACATTAGTGTTTGTTTATTGTTTATGCAATTTATTAGTTTATTTTTAACTCCTGATGTGTGGGAAATCCAAAAACTTTTGAAGTTCCGATGCACGGAAAACACACAACTCCTGTTCCCTGTTTAGTGTTTCATGCATAATTTTCTTTATTGCCACATTTCCTCCACATTCTGGCCTTGGAAGACTTTTCCTTTTTTTATGTTTTTACTTGTTGTTTTTCCTTGTTGTGCAAGATTTTTAGCGTTCCACCTCAATGGCTGACCTGAGGGGTGAATTATTTATACCCCTGTGTTTCCCTGCAGACCGGGAGGTGCTTGTACTAAAACAGTTTGACTTGGCAGAAGAATGGCAAAAGAAAAAAAAAACCCACAAACACACAGCAAGCTTGCACAAGAATTCACAAATAGCCTTTTTACTCTAATTTTAAGTGGTTAAAATCTATTTCTACACCACAAAAACAAATGTAAACTAAAACCTGAGACAGTAAAAACTTTTTTTTTTGCATGTGTGTCTAATCAAACTTGCTGGAAAAGATATAGAAGGCAGCAAGCCTGGAGGAGTTTTGTGTGTCCATCTGTCCGTCACATACAAGCTGAGACAGGATGTGGCCCCATGCGGCTTTCTGATGTGAACATAACAGATAGACATAGGGTGCATCTTCGCTATTTCGGGGTGAATGTGTGAGCGCATGAGTGTGTTTCTCTCAGGCTTGTGACAAACGACTGATTGAGTGGAACAGAAAAGAGGGAAAGYGGAAGATTTTGTCCAGTTCAGTGGTTGTCGGTTTGTCTTCCCGCACCTTTAGTGGGACTCCTCTATACGACTACAATTGAACAGATTTGCATCTTTTGAATTTTGATCGCWCGCATTCGCCTTCGTAAATCTGTAAGGGAGTCTTGCTACATCATCAGTTGTGTCAAAAGCAGCGAGTAAATTCCCTCCGCACACGTACAAACACAAGACAACAGCACAAGCTCTTACCCGCTCAACACACCCAGAACAAGGTTGAGAACGAAAAAAGAGCCGAAGATGACGAGAGAGACAAAATAGACCCATGGCAGCTCATAGCCCATAGCATCCTGCATCTGAGGAGGGGGAGAGAGAAAGAGAGCAGGAAAAATAGAGGAGAAAAATGAGGGGATTGATGGAGAAAACAGAGACGAKTGAGGAGGAAGAGAAAGAGACAAACACGAGGGGGGAAAGTTGGAGAACGGTGGAAAGAGGGAGGATGAAGAATGGAGTTGAGAGGTGGGCAGCAGAAGTCCAAAGGGTGTTAAAAAGAGATGAAAAAAGAAAGTGACAAGCAGAAAAAAAAAGAGGCATGCTGGTTAGAAAGAGTTGCAGATAAACATGTGGTAGCCATAACAGTAAAACGGTGGAACTGTTTGATTTGCTTTTACCAGCTTTGGAGAGYGAGAGTACCAACTTTTAATGGAAACCTTTTCACTCAAAAGATTTGATTGTTTCGGGACAATAATTTACGGTGAATTTATTTAAATGCTTTCAAAAACATTATTGATGCTTGAAATAATGGAGAAAGATAAGAAACAAGGTTGGCGTGGACAAAACAGTGTTTTACTGTTCAGGATATTCAAATAATAAAACAGTTTCTATTTAAATCAAAATGTTATTAAAAATGAAAAGTAATCATAAAGTACAAAACTTGTCAAAAGAATACAGAATTCTCAGTTTTATTGAAAATTTATTTAGCTGTTTTCCCTTTAAAATATGCCCAATACTACAAATAAGAGCAACATTTCACAAGTTCTTGTTAGTATTTTTTTATAATATTAATAAAAATAAGACATGCACCTATTTTTCCCCTTTTTGCCTGAAATAAAAAAATCTTGTTTTTTGTCAATGAAATTTTTTTTCCACATGTTGGACAGATATATTATTTTCCTGTCGTTTACAGCAGCTAAAACATGTAATCACTGGTTTAGCTAAAGGCAAGATAAACCTCTGTAAAATGTGTTTTAGACTCAGTATCATATCGCGTGCAATTAATCGATCCTTTTTTGGCACTAGACAATTAATACAGTTAATGCCACCAGGCAGACTCAGGGCTCCTCACTGCTTCAAATATGACATAAAAAGTTGTGTAATTTATAATAAGTCCAGTTTTACTTGCTCTATCAACACAATTTAAAAATCGATGTATAGCCTGAAGTGTGTACTTTTGACACGATTTGGAACATATTTTTACAGAGAGCAAATCTTTCCCACTAGAGTGTTTTAAATTGGTCATGTGACTAGGACATGCAGGGATCCAGGGACTCCAGGGGATTAATTGTCATATTAAGTGTTATCAGCTAAATACCACAATTAATTGTGATTTATGTTTTTGACAATGTCACCCAACCCTACTCAGTTTGTGGTATTTTTTTTATGAAAAAAAGCCAAGTGTGTCTGCATTGGTGGTTGCAAGTGACAGAAAAGCAGTCGAACGGGGTGTAGAGCTTCTCTCTCTCTCTTTCTCTCTCTCTTTCTCTCTCTCTCTCTCTCTCTCTCTCTCACACACACACACACGCACAGGCACACAAGTACACAGAGTTCAAGACAAATATCTCAATATGCTAATAAAAATCAAATCAAAATGAGTTTACAGTTACATGCTACATTGTGTGTTTGTAGTAGACATGTTTTTTTCCTGATATACACTTTTTTTTGCACTTACGCACTCACACACTCACACACTTGCACATAAAACACAGCTGTGGTGTCCGGCTCACCCAGTAAAGCACGTCCGTCCAGCCTTCCATGGTTATACACTGGAACACTGTCAGCATGGCAAAGGCAAAATTGTCAAAATTGGTGATCCCCTCGTTTGGACCCACCCATCCCATTTGGCACTTGGTTCCGTTCTGCGTACAGTGCCGGCCGTAAGCTCCGTCGGGTGCGCACGGCGCCGGCTTTTCCTCTGCCATGGCAACTGTGATAAAAGTGAGTTCTGTTTACTGACATAGAAACACACAGAAACACCCTTCACTCTGACATTTTTTCTTACATTTGACACAGTTTAAACTCTAATATCGGTTGTTATAAACAGGGAAAGTGTCCTAAACTTTCACCACACAAGCTTCGTGAACCACATCTCATCTTTTTATTTAAATAACAGCCTCAACTTTTCCTCGTTAATACTTACTCATCTTACACAGTGAGAATCCCTGCAGGAGGGGTTTATGCTCAACATAACATGCTTTAAATGTTAAAAAAAATTCTCTAACAATTCATAGTTTCATAGTATTAAATTAAATAAAAGACCAAAGCTACCTTAAGGGTAAGCAGACACGGTGAGTTAACACAAACCAGAGCAGCTATGTTGGGGGGAAAAAGTGTTAAACTATTTATGCAAAAATAAACTCTTCAGTGTGATGTATAGGAGAGTTGTCTACAAACACTTAACCTGTGTAGAGAGAATTTCTCTCACAGGACCAATAGCATCACCATAACAACACTCATGTCCAATTATAACCAAACACCCTTTACTGAAAACTGCTTCAATCATTTATGGCAGCTGCTGTTTCAGTAATTGTTCAAATCATTTATAGGGAAAAAAAATATAAATGATGTTGTGAATAATTAATGGAACTGTTGAAGGCATTCACTCTCGTTTTCTTTCCGCCCTGGTGCCTGATGGATCAAGTCTTACTGTAGATTGAAGTTTAATGCGCACCACTCGGAGCAGTGATTTTTCTCGTCGTTGCTGCCGTTAAGTCAAGTCGGACGTGCTGCACGCTTGTATCTACCTGTTTGGTTGTGAAAGCAGGTCTTGTGCATCTTTCCCATGAAGAGCTCCAGGCCGATGATGGCGTAGATGATGATGACGAAGAGGACCAGGAGGGCAATATGGAGCAGGGGAACCATGGCTTTGATTATGGAGTTCAACACTACCTGTAAACCTGCAGCAAACATTAAAACGACCAAGGATATATGCATGTAAATATGAGCATGGACTCTGTACTAAAAGCAGTCAAAGTAAGTACAATTAAGTAAGCAAGAAAACTCTATATTTTATTACATGTTTCTGGTGTGTGCAAACAATACAAAAAAAATTCAAGTACTTTAATGTGTAAAGATTCAAAGCCTTTACTTCATGTATACAATTCATCTTAAAATTTTTTGCTTATGAATTTATCCTCTTTTTGTTAGTAGTAGGTAGCTGTGACAAACGACTTCCTGTCTATGCAACACAATTACACCATGGCAGTGTGAAAGTAATGCTAATATGGAGCTATTTCTTGGCATAAACTGAAACAAGCAGCACATATCTTATTTAAATTAAGTATTTGTATTCCACTAAAGACTGCTGAGCGTTTACTCATAAACTGGTTGAGTAAGCTGCAAACCCCCTTAAATGACATCAGTGACGAAGAAGTTCTCCAACTTGTTTGTAAATTTAAATAACAGAACTTTTTTTTACATCTAAGCTGTGGAAAATTATACTTTCGCCTTTTTTTACCCACAGTACTGTATGTTTTTTTGTACAATTCAGCCTTCTTTTATTGATTTCTGCAGTTTAGTGCAGAAAACTCTGATCCTTGTGGCCCACTGTCCTGCATGTTTTAGCTGTTTCCCTGCTCATCAGTTGAATATACTGTTCAAAATGTCAACAAAGTTGGCAGAAGCTCGTCAGTGACTCATTCATTTCGGTCGAGTGTGTTGAAGCAGGGAATAATCTTAAACATGCAGGACAGTGGGCCATGTGGATCAGGGTTGTGGACCTCTGGTCTAACTGACAGCTCTACTGCCCACAATGCTAAAAACACCTCAAGAGCATTGAGTGAATCTTTGCATTAGTTCATTACTGAGTGTGTTGCATCAGCTCCAGTGTGTGGTTCTTTTCCCCCCAACACCCAATCACTTTTAACACCTGTACTTACTCGGTACTCCAGAGACCAGTCTAAGGGGTCGGAGTACTCTGAACGCCCTCAATGCCTTGACATCGAAGCCCGCCGTCTTCCCTCCAATAGGATTGGCCCCGTCTCCCTTTGTGGCCTGCTCCAAAATTGCACTGAATAACCTGTCAGACAGAACAATCGCCTCAATAACCATCATTGTTACAAAGTATTCTAGGCTGAAACGTCCCAATACCTGTCTTTACAAAAGATCCATAAATAGATGAATTAAAGTGTACTGTACTGAAAAAATTCAATTTCAAAAAGACGCCTATAAATATATGTGTAAAGAGGTCAAAAGGATCTAAAAAGATTGTCCCCTCTCTCTACCAAGAGACATAAAGCACACATGTCTAACCTTAAGAYACATTAATTAAAGTTCTAAATACACAATAATGCTACATTTGATGTAATAACTTTAGTTTAGTTTAGTGGTGTTGCATTACCWGCATTTTTACAAGTACTTTACTAAGTACTTGCAGAGTTGTATAAAGTACCACAAAGTGATACTTGAGTAAAAGCACACATATCTTACCAAAAAATTACTTTGCTAAAAGTTAAAGTCTCCTTTAGGAATATTACTTGAGTAAAAGTATTAAAGTATTTGACATTTTCTGTACTTAAG